TATAAACGTAGTTATAATACGTTAAATACTAGTAAGACTACTAATTTATTACTATATACTATTTAAAGCTATCTTATAATAGCTTTAATTATTAATTATATAAAAATAAACTTTATACATTTAAAACTTAAACTTAAATATAATTTATACTAGGAACTTACTTTAAAAACTTAAAATAGCTACGTATAATATATATTAATAAGGTTTACGCTTTCTTCTATTAACCTTTTCTTTTAATATTAGAGCCTAGCTTGAGACTTTTAGTTAACGTTATAAATATAAATTACTTATAAGTTCTTACTATTATAAAGCACTTTAAGGTACTATAACGTTTAACTTATTAATATTAGCTAAAGTAGTTAAATCTTACTTAGAAAAGAAACTAGTAATTTAATTATTATAATTAACTTAAAAAAGATTTAATTAAATTAAGTTACTTATTATAACCTAAAAGAATTAAAGCTAATAAAACCTAAAAGATAATAATATAAATATTTTAATTAATATTAATAAAAACGCTTTATATAAAGATAATGTATAGAGGAATTTATAAAAACTAAAAGATAATAATATAAATATTTTAATTAATATTAATAAAAACGCTTTATATAAAGATAATGTATAGAGGAATTTAGTCGTATATTATAGTATATAAAGAAATTTAGCTATATATTACGCTTGATTTAGCTAGTAACGTGGCCTCTAATTACGTGCTATATAATTATATAACTAGTTTTTTAAAGCTTTCCTAGAAAAATAAAACTTTAACCTTCTTAGCCCTTATAGCTATTATATTTACTAATAACTTTTAAAATATATTTTACCGTCTTTTATTATCTATTATCTTATATAGTTTTTCCTTACATAAAAATAGTAGTTTTACCTAAGCGTTTATCCCGTAATATATAATATTATAAAAGGCCTTTTAAAGTTACTAAGCCTTCTATTAATTATAACTCTAAATATTAGGACTAACCTAACCTTTTTAGCTACCTATTATAGACTCGGCTACGTAGCGCCTTTTCGAATAACCTTTTACTACCCGTTATAACTTGTAATATAATGCTACGTAATAACCCTATTTTAGCTACCCGTTACAAACTAATACTATTTTTAGCTGCGTAGCGACCCCTTTTACTACCCGTTATAGTATAATACTATTTCCAGCTACGTAGCGACCTTTTCTAGCTACCTATTACTACACCTTTAAATGTATTATATTTCTTGTATTTTTTACTATACTATATTATATTATATTATAATATAATATATTATAATGTAATATAAAAATAAAATACATATAAAAAAAGTCTTATTTATTATCTTTATACTTAATAAAATTATTTATTTACTTTTTATAATAAAGTAAAGCGTTTTAAATCTTTTAATAGTATTATATAAGCTAGTAGTAGCTAGCCGAGCCCGGCTAGGTAGCCGTAAAAGTAAGGATAAAGTAAAGTTTACTATAATACACTAACTACACTAGAAATATCTAGGATATAGCGTTACGCTAGGCCTAAAATAGTGCGGTATAATATAACGCTTAAAGATAATTA